ATCTATCTATCTATCTATCTATCTATCTATCTATCTATCTATCTATCTATCTATCTATCTATCTATCTATCTATCTATCTATCTATCTATCTATCTATCTATCTATCTATCTATCTATCTATCTATCTATCTATCTATCTATCTATCTATCTATCTATCTATCTATCTATCTATCTATCTATCTATCTATAAAGAAGAGCTTAACTATCTTCTTAGGGCGCCACATCATCAAATGGAGGTCTTCTGAGCTGACACGTGTCCTCTCTCATTCTATGCTGCGTTTTATTAACACGCGACCTTATTGTTTTTGGGCTTACTCTATTATCTTACGTTCTGGATGATGGACAGATAGACCACATAATTTAGCCCTAATGTCCTCTATGCGAAGGATGAACTACGCGAGAATTAGGGTTCGTCTTTCATCTTTGAATCTGCAGCTGACTTTTGACCTTCCTACGATTAACGCATCCATATAGTGTTTATCGTGTTTAATCCCCTATTAATTCAAATACCCACGTTCTAGCCTTGAATGCAATCTTTTATCAGCGAGGCGGTCTAACTAAGAGTATAAATAGGTGTGTATTTCTCTCTCAAAACCAATGTAGATCTCCGTGATATGGCTAATTTGAGGGTTTTTCCTCCGATTTGAAGTCCGGCAAGTGGAGTACTTTTCTTAAAGAGTAAAAGAATAATGTATACTTTCTCCGATTTTTCATGTTTTACAGTCTAATTTCATCTCACACTTTCTCCAAGAAGGCTCTGACGAGACCTCCGGTTACTAATGGGAACTCCAAGCCGAAGAGATTCTTCAAGCGGCCGTTTCCTCCTCCGTTTCTGGATAAACGCATCATCGAGAGACGGGATGGCTCCATAAAGAAGAAGGAGGCAGAGTGGGTTTGGATAAGATCTTGGTTATGAGTTATGGCCATTTTTGTGCTCTTAAGTTTATGAAAGGTGATAACAAGTCGCTTCAAAGGTTAGTGCGTTTTGATTTTTGATCAAAAAGGTGCTTTTTAATTCAATGTCTTCTGGTTCTGTAATAGTTATGAGATCTTTTAGATTGTTTGTAATTATTTTGTAGATTAGAACGACTATTGCCACTGAAAATGTCAAAAAAAAAAGAGAAGTGAATATATTGAAAAATTGATCTGGCCATGATAATCTCCTCATTTCTACTATGCATATTAGGATCATGATGATGTCAACATTGTGATGGAGCAAGCTCTCTTTTAGCTCAGATTTCCTTGGAGAGTCTTAAACAAGTGGTTTGTTTTTTTAGGCAAACTGAAGAAGGTTTTGGAGATATCCAGCAACAGAGCAATAACAACAGTTGTAAGAGAAGATTTAAAGCCAAATTCCCTAATGAGAAACTTAAGAACCAATCGTCATACTAACAATAGCTTTTATGTTTTCAGGTTCCGAGCCAACATTACAGATGAAGCTTCAGACATGTAAGAGAAACAGAGCAACAACAACAGTTGTAAGAGAAGATTCAAAATCAAATTCTCTAATGAGAAAGTTAAGAACCAATCGTCATACTAATAATATCTTTTATGTTTCAGGTTCTGAGCCAACATCACAGATGAAGCTTCAGCCATGTTAATAAGATGTTCTATTTTGTTTTAATAACATGCCTCTCTCTCTCTCTCTCTCTCTCTCTCTCTCTCTATTTGGATGCATTATCGACTCTTTATTTACTTTGTTTTCCAGGTGATCCAGCGGGAAAAGTAGGGAGAATAACCACACGCTCTTTTAAAAGTTGCATTGACCACATTGAGTTATGCCTCCACTTTTTTTTTGAAACCCATTAATCTCCACTTTGATTGATAATTCTCTACGCTTAAATGATAGAAAAGAATGTGTAACTGATATACATAAGATAGTTATTCTAAGGAAATAAGGTGTCTCCCTGCTGTAGGCCCCTCTGTGGAGTTATGTGTCCTTTTGGTTGACCATTCAATAAAACTCTGTAATGTACGATGAAATACATTCCTTCATAAGTTGGGTCAAGTGATTGTCAAACTCCATCTTGGAAATCAACTCTTGAATAAAAATCCATTCAACTCTATCATAAGCTTTAATCATATCTGTATTTATGGCCATAAATTTGTCCTGGCATGATTTGTTAGTCCTCAATCCATGAAACATCTTCTGGACTATGAGGATATTGTCAGAGATCAATCTTTCAGCCACAAAGGCAGGTTTTGTTTCCAAAATAAATGAGGGAAGACAAGTCTTTAATCTCTGATAATACCTTAGATATAATCTTGTATCATATATTATATAAGGTTATAGGCCTGAGCTATGTCATCCTTGTAGCCCTCTCCGTTTTAGGAATCAAACAAATATTTGTAATATTTAACCTTGTGTCCAGTTTCCCTGAGATCAAAAACTTATTAACCATTTTCAGTAGATCTTTTTTATTATATGTCAAGAGTGTTGAAAAAGTAGAGCTGTCATTTCATCGGGTCTAGGAGCTTTTTCGTGATGCATCAGAACTTGTCGTACGTCATCCTCAGATGCTAGCCTGATTAATCGCTGATTCATCTGGGGGTAATGGTAGGTGTAATCTCGTCCAAAACTTTGCATTCTGATGGAGAAGTTGTCTGAAGAAATCATCAAAATAATCCACTACAACCTTTTCTACATCTTGTTCCTCAATTATCCAGTTTCCAACAGTATCATAAAGCTCCACAATCCTATTACGAGCACGTCATTGTTTTGTTAGGGCACGATAGAATTTAGTATTAAGATCCCCTGATGTATACAACATATTACAACTCTTTTGTTACCAAAAATCTTGCTCGTCCTTATATAATAATCTATCATGTTGGTTTTTGAATTAATAAAACATAAAGTAATTATTATATGTCATGAGTGTTGAAAAAGTAGAGATGTCATTCTATCGGGTCCAGGAGTTTTTTCTGGATGCATCATAAACAGAACTTGATGTACGAACGATAGATAGATAGAGGACTACAAGGATATAGTCAGTGCGCCAGGTGTGGAGCCAGTGAGAAATCCCATCTGTTCCTACAGCTGTTCAGGTTTGGGCTCTCTCGAGGATCCCATCAATCCAGAGATTTCCCCTTCTTCCTCTATTTTTACAAATATGGATCACTTATATTGTAGAGTTCTCTCAGCCATGGAAGATCATCAATTCGCTTGGATTTTATGGTATATTTGGAAATGATGCAATAGTAAGACGTTTAGCAATATAGACACTGATCTTAGGGATATTCTTAAACTGGCAGAAACTGAGTTATTGCCTTGCGCGGAAGCTCAGGTAACGCTCGCTTAGAGAGCTACCCAATCTAATGAAATCGAAGTGTCGGGACTCCAAGCTATTCCGGGGTGCTGGTGTGTTACTGGTGGATCATTGTAAGCACAATTATTTTTTCCTGGACAAGGCTGGTATCATACTTTGGAGGGGCTTGACGGGCTTACGGGGGTAAGGAATACGAGAGCAAGTCTATCACCTTTTCACTCGGAATTTGAAGCCCTTATATGGGCCATGGAATGTATGAGGAATCTTCGGCAGTATCACATTACTTTGGCAACAATATCACGCTACTTTGGTAACAGATTGTTCTCAATTGGTGAAGATGGTTTCAGCACCGAAGGAATGACCTGCTTTTGCAAATTACATGAAGGACATCAAATTTCTCAAGGCAAGTTTCAATCACTCTGAGATCATTCATATATCCCAAACACAGCATTTAAAGGTGGATAGTCTAGCACGCAGTGTCAGAAAGTAATCGTCAGTTGTCGTTCATATGGATGGAGAGTTACTAGTTTGGTTCACAGAGTCTTAGTTGAGTCTATGTGTTGATGACAAAAAAACCCCATTTGACACCCACAAAAAAAAAATGTAACTTAAATTTCTAACATATAATTCAAGAGTTTTTAGGGCTGGACATTTGGGGTCTCAAACGGGCTTCGGTTCGGGTCCATCGGGTTTTGGGTTTACGATATTAAGCCCCATTCGAATAATATAAAATTTTATTCGGATTCGGTTTAAGTTTAGTCGGGCTCGGTTCAGCTTTAGTAACATGTCTAAGAATCGGTTGAGCACGATATAATTTCAGGTTTTGGATCTTAATCGGGTTTTTGATTCTAAAACACTAATTTGTACTTGGTTATACCCTAAAATACTTAATATTGTACTAAAGTAAAGAAAAAAATTTCGAATATATTGTATTTTTATGTCTCAGTGCCATATATACATTAACCAAAAGATCATGTGTGTACATGAGCTTGATATAAACTTAAATTACACATAATTAAACATAAAGTATTAAAGTTAACAACTACCAATTTTATAAACATAAAAAAAATATTATTTAAACTTACAAACAACGATATTGTTTAAATTTCAAAACAAATTTATTCATAAATAAACTGTAAATGCAATGTCAAACATAAAACACTAATATTAACCAAATAAAAATATATATTAGACTAAATATTTGAGTTAATCCTTCATGTAATAACTAACTAGTGTAGATACTCAATAATATTTTAGTGTGTTTTGGATACATATTATAAATTGAGATAAGGTAAGGTAAAGTTTTTCTGGAATTTTGAAGTTTCGGATTTTTTCGGATATCCACTAAAAGTAAAACCCATGATTTGGAATATCGTAAAACAAGATCCATTCGATACTTATGTTGGGTTCGGATCAGTTTGGATTATTTTTTTATCGAATTGGGTTCAATTCAAATTATTGCCCAACCCTAGGAGTTTTAATCGCTACATCAATTCGTTACCACTTACCAGTGACTGAAAGTAAAGAAAGTTTATTATTAGTGTTTCAAAAAAAAAAAAACGAAGAAAGTTTATTAGTTTATGGTATTGTATAACTGATTTTGAAACTCAACCAAATTCTCGTTTGCTAAGAAAGATTAATTACTGATTTCGATATTCTGGTCAAGATATGGTTTAATTCAGATTATCATTTCCTTGTCATATAGCTAAATGTACATAGTAGATTGACAACCTGCTGTGACCACTGACTAAGAAAATAATAGAACAGGGTTAAATTTTATATTTACAAAATGTACAGTAGTTATAACTGAGGGTCCTTCAAATGTTAATCATGTAAAGGATATGACTGCATCATCATCGTTGGTCGCCCGTGTGGACAAATCCAAGGAGATTCCGAGTGTTCAACTATCTTCACAACCAAAGACAAAATTTGATGTTCTTTGTACGGAACACAGAAGATGTATTGAGACATTTAAACACATGTAGAAGAATGGTGAAGAGTATATAGTACAGCTTTATTGTACGACTACGACTTGCACGGACAAACCTAATCCTTTTTGCTGATTTTGTAGCGACGAACAAAGTAAAAAAGCATGTTTGTATCCTTAAAAGATCCGAACCTCTATATACATACGCATGCATTAGTTTATACAGCGAATGTTTAACTTATGTTGAGAAAGGAAATGAATTAGATAATAAACCGAACAACACTCTTTCTCTCTTCTGTACATAAATATTTTATAAATTAAAAAAAGGACCAAAATGAGATAAAAACCAACAAATCTCTCCTCTCTTTCTCTCTGTCTCTTCTACATAAAGTAGCTCAAGGACGTCTTCTTCCTTGATCCGCCTTCTCCATACAACTCATTCCATTGCTGAAGCTCGTTCATGTTTGATGAGTCCGTAGACACACTAGCACATACCTATACATATATTTGAGTTCATTTAATCTCATTTTCTATCTATATAAACACAATGAAAACAAACCATTAACCATTTGCATTTTGTTTTGTTTCAAATTACCTGTTCATGGGCAGCCTTGAAATCTGCCATTGTCAGTGGACGAATGTCTGTGCAGCTATACAATGCAGGCGTTGGACGGTTTTCAGCCTCGGCTGCAATTTTTTCCTGAAGTCAAAACAACAGTCAGTATATAGAGAAGGATGATTAATGAGTTCTGCAAGTAAAATGTCAATGTTCAAAAATTCGCCTGCTATGCAGGCGCCTAGACCGACTTTTAGAACAGTGGTAAATGCATCAAGTTGGAAACCTAACCTTCTTTTCTTTCTCCAGTATTTCTCGAATAGGAAGATGTGCCGCAGTTACACAAAGATTCTGCAACCAAATAAGAGAATGTGAGCTTTTTACAAGCCAAGGAGATTGAGATTCACTGAGAGAGAGAAACCAGTAAAGACCTTTAAGTCACTTCCAGAGTAGCCATCTGTCATATTTGCAATGGCTTCTAAATCAACATCAGGTGCTATTTCTTCTTTAGAAAGAATAACACTCAAAATCTTTGATCTGTTCGTCGCATCTGGAAGATTCACCATCAATCTGCAGCATAGAAGTATGCATTAAGCAATAGTTACAATATGAGGAATCATCTTTCATAAGAGAGACAGAATGTAGGTTTTACCTCCGGGGAAGCCGTCTAATAACTGCTTCGTCAAGATCAAATGGTCTGTTGGTAGCAGCGAGTACCAGAACTCGTTCTCTATCCTTTGTTCTTAAACCGTCCCAGTTTACCATGAACTCGTTCTTCATCTTACGCATAGCTTCATGTTCCCCTGGATTTTCACGTCTTCCCAACATGCTATCAACCTAAATTGTTTTTTCAGCAAATCATCAGATCAAGAAAATACATAAAGGAGAGGTGAAACAGAGATTGCTAGTTAATCTCTTCCAACATACCTCATCAACAAAAATGACACTTGGAGCAATCTTGCTTGCCAAAGAGAAGACAGCTTTAACATACTTCTCTCCCTCACCAAACCACTGCAAAGCATTCATATTATTAGATGGTCAAGTATGCTCTTCAAATGAAAGCAAAAAATAAGATTGAGATCACTGTTGGAGAGAGAGATATACCTTTGAAGTAATGCTGGACATTGAGATATTGATGAAGTTTGCTCCAGCTTCAGTTGCTACTGCCTTTGCCAGCATCGTCTTACCGGTACCAGGCGGTCCAAACAACAGAATACCTTTTGTAGGCTGCAGTAAAACGTAATTTATATATTTGATGTCCAGAAAAGTAAAAATGTAAAGCGATGAAAGGTACCTTAGTTAGCTGCCCTTTGTCAAATAATTCAGGTCTTTGAAGAGGAAGCATCACCAACTCCTTCAGTGTGTCTTTCACATTCTCTAGAGCCCCAATATCATCAAAAGAAACACCTATATCGCTAGGGGGAATGACATCTGATAAGAGTTTTTTCTCAAATTCGTTCTCTGTCACAACATCCTGAAACAGCATAGGAAAGCAACTCTTAGACCCAAACTTATTAACTTAGGAGAAAAGATATAAAGTTCCATAGTATTACCTTGAGGGATTTCTTTAGACTCTTGTTTTCATCCTGAACTCCCTGTAACATCTGCAGGCCATATGTAATGCTGCAACACAAGCCAAAGTGCTATTTACAAAATCTGATCTGTATTTTGGCTACAGTGTTTTAGTATAAGCAAGGATGCATACCTTTCTGCTGAGATAACAAGCTTGTTGTCTTTAATTGTAGGTTCTGCGCAATTCATAAGATGGTGGCTTAAAGCCCAGCCAACAACTTTCTCAACACCTAGAACACACATACAGTTAGTTAGTCAACCAAGGGATCGATCAACTCATAAAAAAGGTAAGTTACAGGAGGCCTACTTTCAGAAGGAAGAGTTTGATCTTTGATGCACAAGGTTCCAAGGTCAGGGCAGTCCAGCCGATTTTTGGTGAGGACCTGCGGTCATTATTAACAAAAAACGTTAGCAAAAGAAAAATACACTTTAGATTGATGGAGTCTTGATCAAAAGATGCTCACAGATAGGATGCTTGTTATATTAGCCTGAACCTTCAAAAGCTCTGTATCACGGTCCAGTTTCTCCTTCCAGTCCGAGAGCAAAGCCTCATCCTATTATGTCTTAAGAGCATAAGATAATGAAACAAAAACAACAAATGTACCCAGGCATTAAGAAGATTCAACCTGAGGTAACTGGATGGCGACTTTGTTAGGAAACAGCCGAGTTATTTGTTTCATCGATTTAGGCGTTTCTTTGCTCCTGTCATGCAGTTTACTAAAATTATCCTGCAACATGATCAAAGAATCAGTTTCAACATCTCGAAAAGATACATTGCAATATCAAAAGTGGAAAAAATAATAAAAGAGAAGCAGGTATCAAACCGGGAATGCAAGATCTAGTAATGCCGTCTGGTTGCCACCGAACTTGGTAAACAAGAAACCTCCAGGATGGGACTGAAGAACAATAAATCGTTTCAGTTAACTGTATAGATAAAACAAAATAGAGGCAGAAAAGATTAAATGAGTTTCCTACTTTCTCCTTTCGGCTGTCCAACTGGGTTTGTGAGGCCATGACAACAATATTGTCCGGTAAATTCTCGAACTTGCTCTTCAAGGTTGCATACACATCACTGTTCCCAACCAGAGACTTCTCAATATCTTTCAGGAACAGTATTAACGACCCTCCTTCACTCTCACTAAGTGCGACCTATAATACGAGTCAAGTGGTCAACAAGTGGATGAATAGAGTAGCACTCCACATAGCTTAGAGAGTAAAATATACCTCAAAAACTTCATTAACGGCGAGTTTATCAGCGTCGTCACTGGAAGAACCATCTAAACGAAGTGAGCTAGCTGGAAACACAGAATGATATTAGTAAAATAATATGTTATAACGTGGGTCAAAATTGGAAATAAGAGTGAGCCAATTACCAGCACAAAAAAAGCCATGGTCCTCTTCACACAGGCCACCAAGATCATTGCCATCTGGCACAGGCCTATCGAATCTGATTCCAACTTTTGATGAACAGTTGTCTTCAAATGCAAGGAGCACTTTTCCCTGGAAACCAATGGTCGGTCCCCTATGAATAAATACCAGGAAAAGAGTTAGAACTGAATTTTAAATCTGAAAGATAATAAAAAAATCGCAAACAATACCTAAGAGGTGGGCCTTGAAGAGAAGAAATAGCAGAAGATGAAGGACCTACATACTTTACTCGGTCACCTAAAATGATGAAGAGGCATATTCAGTAAGTGGTACATCAAAGAATGTTAAACAAGCAGATGATAAAAACCAACATACCTGCTTTAAATGTGTAGCTTTTAGAAGTTGCTGTTGACACTTCTTGCTTTGGTAAAGCCTGAGAACTCAATGTTGAGCCACCTGTTATATCAGCGTCCACACTTGAAGTTGGTTTCTTATGCTGCAATGCCTGTGCGGCCTGAACGGCTCGTTTAGCAAGCATAGAGAGCCTTTCACGCCTAGAACCTTCTTTAGAAGATTCGGTTTCCTTGGATGGTGATCCCTGAAGCCATAAAGAAACAGCACAAAATCAATGACTTCCTTAGAATGACCAACCAAACCTACTATTACTCAAAAACACAATGGCGGATGAACACTGACAGATATAACATCTAACTATCTGGGAACAAAAGTCAGTACTATCACTTATTACAGACATGAAATGAAAATATTTTAATAACTAAACAATATTAAAAAGAAAATATAGGGAAGGAAACGAAGATTACCCCAGGCAACAAAAGAGAGTCAACGATCATCAATTTGGCCTCAAACCTTTTTGCAAGTGCTTTTGCTAACATTTCCTGATATATCTCAGAGCCTAAATACAATTCATATGGTAAACGTGGTTAGAAAAATAGGCATCTCAGACATCATATATACTACTCCCTCCGTTTTTAATTATTCACCTAACCACAATTACTAATTAAAAAATAGACTGCACAATATCATTGGTCATATAATATCTTAATTAATTTTATACTGAATGTCATTTAATTTGGAACAAAAAAAATATCTAAAACGTCAAGTATTAAAAAACGGAGAGAAGAGGAATGCACACATCAAGAAACACTAATAATATTATAGTAAAGCCTCATACCTGCTGGTCCAGAGAGTAAGATACGGGGACACGTAGTAGACAAGTCTGATGCATACTTAGCAAACTTACTTCCACCCTTCATATGAACATACATCGACGCTATCAAAACATCTTTCGTCGTCGCACTGAGAGAATTCAGAAAATTGTTTTAGCTACATATCATCAAACCATAAAAATGTAAATATATAATAGAACTGTTAAGTAATATATAGCAGCCAGACCTTAGAAAATATGGGAAGCTCTCCAAAGAAACCTCTATGTCTTGAGCATTAAGTACTCCTCCTCGCAGGCTATCCTTAAACGCCTGGCGTCTTGTTGATATGGTAGATGAAAGGTCATATTCCCTAAGGAGTTCTCGCACTTCTCTTCGCTCATCCAGCAATTTGGAGATGCCCCTTATATCAACTGACGAAGGTTCTCCAAGAAGGCGCAAGATTGGTCTAATTTCATAACCAGAACCAGGAGTGTTTCCACCATCAGCTGCTTCTTGAAATGGATCCAATCCACTGCCATCAGCATTCAGATTCTCACTGGCAGCAGCAGCAGTGTTCTCCACAGAAGCAATATCAGCATGATCATTGTTACTATCAGCATCGTTCATTTCAGTATCTGAGATGCAATCATTGCAACTCGTAGGTACCACAGGAGCCTCAGGAGTTTGCTGCCTTTTGGCAGATTTAGCAATTGGTGGTAGGAGATGGAAGTTGCGGTACTTCGATAGAGATGCTAAGATAGAGGCTCCATCAGCAGCTGAGGGGTCTCCTGCTCTTGCCAGAGGTGAACCTCTAGCTTCACATACACTCACTGAAGAAGCTCTGTCAGGAGCAGCTAAATTCTCATCTTTAAGAGGTTGAAATATATAAGCATGTCTCCCAAAATTGGTGAAGATCACCTCGTCACCACCACGAAGATGAACACAAGTGCTTTTCTGGTAACACTTGCCATTCACCTGAACGAGAACTCCGTTCCCCGTTATCTCCAAAGTTGCAACCGATGGACCTCCGTGCTGCACAATTATTACGTAAGAAAAAAGACGCTTTTGTTTTTTAAGAGACTTGAGATCAAAAGGGGCAAATAAGATTTACTTACATCAGACTGCTTGATTTCACACAGGGTGCTGGGCATAGATTGGTCTTTGATAGATAAATCACATCCTCGGCGTCCAACAGTGAACACCGGGCCCCTCATGATACGGTGTGGGTTCTGAATTTACATAGAAACACGCATTGGAACAGTTAGAAACAGAAGTAACGTAGTGAAGAAGTAGAAAAGTCTCAGACATGACAACATACTTCTGTCGGATAAAAAAAAACCGGACATTTAAGACAACTAAACTCCGCATGAACTGTAAGACCAGACCTTACTAAAAATATTACACGAGTTGCACACTGCTAAACATACTTATCTCGGAAAAATATATAAAAGAACCAGACATGCAGAAAACTAAACTTGTTCCACATGAACTGAAAGACCAATCCTTTACCAAATATATTACACAAACTGCACAAAGGTTCAAGAAATCGCTAGACGGTGGCTAAAATCCTTATAGAGGATTATTGTTTAGTCTGCCTAGATTATGTTTTTTGAATGTCCATTTTAAAAATCGGTTTGAAAAAATGTTTCATCGAGTTTTAGAACACTCTGCACACTGCTAAACTCTCAATGCCCACAACTCTTAGACTTATAGACCAGAAGTATCAGACACACATAAAAACATACTTCGGTCAGAGAAAATTAAAAAATAAAAGAACCGGACATGCAGACAATTAAACTTGTTTCGCATGAATTGAAAGACCAAACCTTTACTAAAATTATTACACAAACTGCACACTGCTAAACCCCAAAGGCCCAATTCACAGACTTCTAGATCAAACAAAAAAAAAACAATCACAATGAAACTTAACCCACCTGAGAATACTGAGAAAGTAGCTTTGCCCAAGGAGCCTTATTAGCTCTCTTCTTCCCCGCCTTCGACTTCTCACCATCCGCCACCACTTCACCTAAATCCACAAATTAAAACATCAGAAATGATCCAATTCTTTCTTAAAAAAAAAAAAAAACAGACAGAACAGCAAAAACCTGCAATAGTAGGTGTCGCCAAGACATCGCCTTCAGGGTTAGCATCAGCTTCAGGAGAGATCTCCATCACAGGCACATCAGTTAAAACAGGCTTCTCCGCATCCACACCTTGCGGATCAGAGGATCCAAGCTCCGGTTCTCCAGATTCCGATCCAGGATCCGAAACCGGTCCTTGATTCTCAACCGGAATCTCGCTTGCCGACGAAGACCCCGCCGGTTCAGCCGCCGCCGCCGCCGCCTAGGTTATTATCAAAATAAATTAAAATCAGATTTGAATATATAAAAAATGTTCAGATTCGGACAAGAAACTAACGTACAGATTCAATAGCGGCATCGATCTTGACCTTAGATCGCTTGGTGGGGCGTGGAGAGGAAGAAGACGGTTCAGGGGATGAAGGAGAAGAACAGAACCGCTTCGAAGCGGAAGAGCTACGTCTCGTCTCAACCATATTCTCACGATTTTTTTTTCTCAACCTCTCCTGCTTGGTTCTCGATTAGAGAGAGAGGAGAAGGATAGAGGCGAAATCGGAAAAAAAAAAAGAAAAAAATATCAGAAGAGAGACTTCATGTAAATGATTACTCTAAAGGTCAATTTATAACCTGCAAGTGTTTGTGTTGTTAAATTACATTACTGGTCAAATAAATTTAAAATTAACTTGACCGTCTTATATCCACATTTTATAAATTTAATTGTTTTCCATTAATTTATATACGTTCAGATATCAGTTCGATGTTAAGTGCAAAATTTTAGAACTTATTCCATATATTCATTTTGTGTGGCTGATGTTGTGTATCTGTTTTCCAATTAATAAAGTTGTTTTGATAAAATAAGTGTAGCTTAACAGTTTTGCGATTTTTAAGTATAGCTGATCTTAGTTGAGTGATTTAAATATAAACTAGAGTTTCACCCGCACATCCGTGCGGGTATATTTTTTATTTTATAAATTTATAACTAAATTTTTTAAATACATGATATATATTTTAGTTTTAATTATAATTATATATGATAACGAAATAAAGAAATACTTATTCTATAAAAAATATTAAAATTTTTTGGTAAGATCTTGTTAGATATTTTCAACAGATTTTGTTATATTCAAATTTGTTTATTATTAATATCCTTATTAATTATTAAGATATTTTGATAATAATATATATTTGACTTGTTAATGTAACAATAAAAAATGTCAAATAAAATAATTAATGACATAGTCCAACATGACTTCTAAATAGTAGATAAATTTGGTACTTCTCTTTTAATAGAGAAGATTGATACTATTTATATATTTATTGTTCAGAGTAGTCGATGGCTATAATTCATTACAAATCGGGTAGTATGGTAACTGTGTTACTTTTTATAATGTTTTTTTCATTATGTTTTTCTTTTAGTAAGAGACCATCTCCAATGGGGATTCTATCCCATTGGAATTCTAAAACTATATATATGTATGTATATATTATATATAAGTATATAATTATAGGGCCTACCAAATAGTGTATAATCTTCCCTAATAATCGCTTCTCAAGAAGAAACCGAGAGTTAGATCCACTTGTGCAATAAGTAACACTTATTGGTAAGATTCGTCTACTTGCTTTTTTTCTGGAGATTGACTCCACAAGTCAAAACCTTTAACTTTACCAGATAAACACAATGAATCACTATAGTCAAAACTTTTTCTTTTGATCAATCTAACTATACTAGACCAAAAATTATATAATGTATTTTATCCATTATCAAAGCTTTATCTTGTTGAATAATATTGTATAGTTCTCATAATTTTATATTTATAGTAACCATTTTGTGCATGATAAATGATAATATTCTGTTATACAACCCTGTATCAGTCTTGTATGTTTTTCTTTGATTGAATGAAGTTCTGAGCATACATAGATACACGTGTTTTTAATGTTAAAATGTATCTATACTTTGTTACGTATAAAAATGTTTGACGGCGTAACCGATGACAAAAAGTAAAAAGCTTGTGAACTGTTAGGAGAAAATCTCAGCCAGGTTATACTCTTTTCGAAAATATTTACGATATGACTTAATTAGGGCTGGGCATTTTATCCGGTATATTTGATTCGATCCGTTATTTGTTCGATTCGATCCGAAAATTCCGGATATCCGTAAACTTTCGAATCAAAGCAAATACTAAAATTCAATATCCGTTAAAATCGAAGCAAATCACAAATATTAAAATTTTGGAAAGCGGATATCCGATCCGATCCA